GGAGCCTTCAAGTTCTTCGTTTTGTGTGCAGATAAAGCCTTGGCCGAGCCCCGAACTCGCGCATTTTTCGAAAAGAACTCTCGTAAAATTAAACATTTGAAGCTGAAATTGCAAGGATTCCTCGCTGCGTGAGACGGGTTTACGGTGGAGTTCGCTGTTGGTTGCTCTTCAAGGGTTTGTTAGCCTTGCTGTCCTACTTGTGGCGTATCTGTAGAATTGCTCGGCTATTGCTGACATGGTCGAGCCAAAATCTGACTGAACACATTCTTCGAAAGTCTCGAGTGCGTCAGGATTTTTTTTCGAAAAAATAGCAGCTCCTTGTTTCGATCAAGGGACCTTTGGGTTATGAGCCCAACACGCTATCCACTGCGCCAAGCTGCTTGATGTTGCTTTAATAGGTCATCTTGCTTGATTTTGATTATTACCTTTCTGAAACTTTCGAGTACGTTATCGAAACTCCTCTTCTCATTCTTCTCGAAAAGCATCCGCCCTCAGAACTCTCGGCGGGCCCTACAGCTATGACATCGCAGCGCTTAAACCCGCACACTACTATCTCAACATCACGGACATGCATTTCGATATTGTCGTCGAGCTATTCATTGCGGCATTCAACGAGGTGGGTTTATACTCCATCATCATCGTTCTATGATAACCAGTAGTTGGTCTCACATCAGGTTGGAGTTCATCCAGCGGTAACTGGAGAAGTGGGCCATCTTTTGCGAAAGGTACGGAGACCCTGATTTCAGTCCGGGCCCTCTGTGTGGGAGAATATGCACATGGTCAACTCCAATATGAAAACTGTGGGGAAAATTCTCTTCTCTTTTTTTGGTTTGTGCACATTTCTACCCGAGTTCGTGTGTGAACTTGTATAATTAGTGAGGAAACTCCTGAGCTCAGCTGAGGGAAGCGAACATATATTCCAATTCGGCGCGCGCTAGGAGTGAACAGTGTGAGACAATCATCATCTCATTAATCACCAACTCAGACTCGTCGCGAAGTGACTTCCGGATTCACAGTCCGAGCCGAAGTCGCTCGGCGCGCCAACGAGCGAGGCTTGGATGCTCTCTACGAGAAACTTATAGGAGACAACAACGACCTAGTTCCCTTCATAGAGCGTTTGATGGACATCATCTCCTTGGACCGGCGCATCTCATGGGCGTTCGAGGACCGAGACATCGAGACACTGCAAGAAGGACTGCTCTACTATTTCTCTGATGTCTTGGGCGGTCCCCTGACGTACAAGGGAAAGAACCTCTCTGTTATACATCGTCCGTTGGAGCTCAACGATTTCCACTTCGACGCTTTTTTGATGGACATTGAACGCACTCTGTCAAGTGTTGGCGTAGATGATGACACGGTAGATGAGGTCATCGTCATTCTGGAGCCTCAGCGAGCGAGCATCCTATCTGGGCAAAAGAAAAAAATTGAGTCCGGTGCGCGTATTGTGGACGGAAAGAACCTTCTCGAACGAATTGGTGGAGAAATGACTATCGAAGCTGTCGTCGATACGATGTTCAGCGCACTCCAGTCCGACCCTCGAGTTAAGTTCTTTTTCCACTTGGACGCTTCTCGAATACGACAGATAAAAATCCGCTTAGTTCAGCTCCTCGTAGGAGCCAGCGGAGGTCCAAAGTTGTACGAAATTGCGAGATTGAAACCGGCCCATTTCCACCATAACATAACTGACTTCCATTTTGACGCGCTGTGTGAAAATTTACGAGTCTCATGTGAAGTGACCGACATCACACCTGCATTCACCGATGAGCTCATGGAAACGATTGAGAAATTGCGCCAGGAAATCACCAGTGGATGTGAGTTAGCCTTTCTACCCCATGGAATGACTCTCACTCGGGCATAGGCACTATTCGTCTCGAAATCGCCCATCGTAAAACGGAGAGTGCCGGGACAGCCAGTCTCTACTCACAGCTCGGAAGAAAGGACGGCATCGTTGAGTTTGTCAACAAGCTTTTCAAGTAGCTTGAGGTCACCGAACTCTCTCCATGTTATGGTTCTTAGACGTTTGCATGCCGATCCACGCATATCATATTTCTTCGCGGGCTCTAAGACGGATATCATCAAGGAGAAGCTCAGTCTGTACCTTGATCAGATTTTCGGTGGAGTTGACGAGTAGCCTACCATTTACGTGCGGTCTGATCATCTGCTCGCTCTGTTTT